TAGAATTATTGCTTATGGCTACCCACATGAAACTGGAAAATAGAGGGAGAAAATGTGGAGGCCGTGACAGACTTTGTATTTTTAGATGCAAAGATTACTGCAGATGCAGACTGGCCAGGAAATCAGAAGACGCTTACTTCTTGGGAGGAGAGCAATGTCCAATCTAGATAAAATAGTAAAGAGTAGAGACAAAGATCCGCCTAGTCAAAGCCATGGTATTCCCTGTAGTAACCTACAGATGTGAGAGCTGGACCTTAGGGAAGGCTGAGCGAAGGAAGATAGATGCTTTTGAGCTGTGGTGTTGGAGGAAAGTTCTGAGAGTGCCTTGGACTGCGAGAAGATCCAACCAGTCCATCCTCCAGGAAATAAAGCCCGACTGCTCATTGGAGGGAAGGTTACTAGAGACAAAGTTGAAGTACTTTGGCCACATCATGAGGAGACAGCAAAGCCTGGAGAAGACAATTATGCTGGGGAAAGTGGAAGGCAAAAGGAAGAGGGGCCGACCAAGGGCAAGATGGATGGATGGCATCCTTGAAGTGACTGGACTGACCTTGAAGGAGCTGGAGGTGGTGACGGCCAACAGAGAGCTCTGGCGTGGGCTGGTCCATGAGGTCACGAAGAGTCGGAGACGACTGAACGAATGAACAACAAAACAACAACCCACATGAAAATGAATAAAATCTGGCTACCAGTATTTTAAAAAAACCCTCTAAAATCATGATTTGTTTTCTTATTCATGAGCTCTTTCCATGTATGAAGTATGTAATGTGTGAAGCACTCTGGATCAGAAAGTGTGGCCTTACTTGCTCCAAAGTTTATGTAATCTCAGAGGGATATATTTCCCTATTTTTATTTCTAATAGAGCTGACAGCTCTTTTTCTCCCTACTTACTTAGGATTTATGCTTTCTAATCTTAACATATGGTGGCACTTCACTTCCCAATATCCAACTGACAGTTTTTGATGTTTCTTTTGGACGGCTGCCTAAGTACATTTGCAAATAGTTTAGTGCTTGCTTTAAAACGAATTTGCTCCCAGAATTCCTTTTGCAATCTATTATTTATGGCTTACAAATGTTAAGATCAAAAAGAAAGGAATCAGATGTATATTACATTGTGGCATGCGGCCCGCTGGGGTTAGAAAACCCCAGAAACTTTAATGCTGTATTTGTGTAAAAGGAAGGTTTCCCCTTTCCTCTGAAAATCCCAGAGTGTGTTGCCATTCGTTAAAATGGGGGAAAGACTGGCTGGCTTAATCAGTTATTCTTGTTTTATCCACAGGCCAGAAAAAGTTCACTTGGCTGCCCTATATTTATTTTATTAACTAGGAGAACAATTAGGGCAAACACTATCCTTGTATTATATACTGTATACAGTTTTGAACCAAATTTCACCATTAGATTTGATCTCTCACAAGAATATGTTGGAAACCACTTTGAGTCCCCCCGGAGTGAGAAAAGTAAAGGTAAATGTTTCCCCTTGACATTAAGTCTAGTCATGTCCGACTAATTTCCATTTCTAAGCCGAAGAGCCGGCATTGTCCATAGACACCTCCAAGGTCATGTGGCCGGCATGACTGCATGGAGCGCTATTACCTTCCTGCTGGAATGGTACCTATTGATCTACTCACATTTGCATATTTTAAAACTGCTAGGTTGACAGAAGCTGGGGCTCACAGCAGGAGCTTACCCTGCTCCCTGGATTCAAACCACTAACCTTTCGGTCAGCAAGTTCAGCAGCTCAGCAGCTCACTGAGGGCACCAAGATGTAGATAAGGACAGTGGAAATGATGAAAAGGCTGGAGTAAAAGCTGTGTGAAAATGGTGACTAAGGGGATATGTGTTAGAGGTACGAGGGTTGAATGAAAAGTTATGCCTCCACCTCCGTAACTCCTCAAGAGATGGTATGCATTGCCATTCCAGGATGGTACTGGTATGCAGCAGGTACTGGCTTGTTCAGTAGACTCTCCTCTACAGTTCTGTTTTTGTGGGAAGCCCTAGCATTGAACGGTTGTGTTGTTAAAGTGCAAAGTATGGAACCCTGCACAGACTGTCAGTCAATACGACTTAAGCAATGTGCAGTCATTGAATTCTTGACAGCAGAACGTGTCACCCCAAAGGAGATTCATCAGAGAATGCAAGCTGTTTATGGTGAGTGTGTGGATGTGAGTACTGTGCGTCATTGGGCGAGTAAGTTTAAAGATGTCGAGGTGGGAACATCTGACTTGTGTGACAAACAAAGAGTTGGGACGTCCTGTGACAGCAACCACCAAGTTTCACAAGTAAAAGGGTGACAGATTGATTCAGGACAATCTTTGTATCACTCAGAGATAAATTTCAAGCATAAGCAGCATTTCACAAAAACGTGTGAAACATAGAATTATTGCTTTGCTTGGCTATTGGAAGATCTGTGCATGATGGGTTGCGGAAACAGAGTGTCAACTTCTGTGACGGCTTCAGAAAACTTGTTCATCATTGGAAGAAATGTATCCAATTGTTTGATGATTATGTGGAAAAGTGAATAGTGGTAGTTAAAGAGGATTATTTCTGCGTTTGATTTATTAAAATAGTCCCATCCAAACCCACGTAACAAAGGTGGAGGCATTACTTTTCATTCAACCCTCCTATATATAATTAAGTGCAGCAAGAAGAAAGTGGATAGAAGACTGCACCGATTCTTATTATAACCTGTCATACATTGACATGCATGAAAGGGTTAGTTAGACAGATGAGAGGAAGGATTCTTTCACAGAGTGATGTTATGGAAAAATTGCAAGTTTAAGAAAAAAAAATCTTGCTGAACCAACATATGTTCACCGTCTCCTTTATTGGTGATGTTCATGCAATATGTTGCTTGTGTAGCCCAAACAATGCCACCTCCAGACAAGCGGGAAATATCAACAGGCATAGGGACTCTTTTTTTGTGAGTCCCCTGCTAAAGAGGGAAGGGGCCATAATAGGGAAAAATCCCAAAATAAGCTTGTGAAGATGGGGCGCATCCATCAGCCTGGAATGGCAATGCATTATTAGAGGCAATATACAGGCAGTCTCCAAGTTACGAACAAGATAGCTTCTGTAGGTTTGTTCTTAAGTTGAATTTGTATGTAAGTTGGGACAGGTACATTTTTATAGTGGTAACTCCAGCCATATGTGTGTGTGTGTGTGTGTGTGTGTGTGTGTGTACACATACACACACATTTAGTGTCCTATCTACACAACCATATAATGCAGTCTGAAATGACATATGGCCAGTGTAAGCTCTTATAATGCAGTTCAATGCAGTTAAACTGCATTATATGAGTCTACACCGATCATTTAATGTAGTTTCAAACTGTATTAAATTGCAGTGTAAATGGAGCCACGGTCAGAGCAGGAATGGAGAATCATGAACAAGGGAGGAACCAAGGTCTCTTCTGCACTGTCTACAATCCAGATTATCTGCTTTGAACTGGTTTATATGAGTCTACACTGCCATATAATCCTGTTAAAAGGAGACAATCTGGATTTTTATGGCTGTATTGAAGGGCCCTAAGAGCCCTTGTACAATGCCATTTAATCCAGACGATCTACTCTGAACAGGATTTTATGAATCTATACTGCCGTAGAATCCAGATTATCAAATAAGATAGTCCGGATTATTGGCTTTGAACTGGATTATAGGAGTCTGCATTGCCATATAATCCATTTTAAATCAGATAATCTGGATTGTATATGGCAGTGTAGAATTGGCCTCAGATCCCTTGTATAATGCTATATAATCCAAATTATCTGCTTTGAACTGGATTATATGAGTCCACTGCCACACGATCCAGTTTATCTGCTTTGAACTGGATTATATGAGTCTCCACTGTCATATAATCCAGATGATTGAATCAATCCAAATTATCTGCTTTGAACTGGATTATACGAGTCTCTACTGCCACATAATCCGGATGATCCAATAAAATAATCCAGATTATCTTCTTTGAACAGGACTATATGAGTCTCCACTGCCATATAATACAATTGATCAAATCAGATAAACCAGATTATCTGCTTTGAACTGGATTATATGAGTCTCCACTGCTATATAATCCAGATGATCAAATCAGGTAATCCAGTTTATCTGCTTTGAACTGGATTATATGAGTCTCCACTGTCATATAATCCAGATGATTAAACCAGATAATCAAGATTATCTGCTTTGAACTGGATTATATGAGTCTCCACTGCTATATAATCCAGATGATCAAATCAGGTAATCCAGGTTATCTGCTTTGAACTGGATTATATGAGTCTCCACTGCCATATAATACAATTGATCAAATCAGATAATCCAGTTTATCTGCTTTGAACTAGATTATATGAGTCTCTAGGGCCATATAATACAATTGATCAAATCAGATAATCCAGATTATCTGCTTTGAACTGGATTATATGAGTCTCCATTGCCATATAATCCAAATGATCGAATCCATCCAAATTATCTGCTTTGAACTGGATTGTATGAGTCTCCACTGGCATATAATCCGGATGATCCAATAAAATAATCCAGATTATCTTCTTTGAACTGAATTATATGAGTCTCCATTGCCATATACTTCAGGTTATCCAATCAGGTAATCCAGATGATTGGATCATATGGGTCTACACTGCCAGATTATATGGCAGTGTGGAAGGGACCAAAGTTTGCATCTATACTGTAGATTTAACATAGTTTGACACTATGGAAGTCCGGGGTTTTGCAATGCGGTGCGACCCCAGCATTCTTTGGGCAGAGAGATACTCAATGCAGACTATGTTTCCCTAGCAATTAAAGCGTGGTCGCAATTCCCTCTTACTAGCAACTCCAGGCGTTGCTAGGCGACCACGGCTGCCCAATGGGAAGGCAAAGCGGGCAAACTCCGAGAAGCACGCTCTCCCAAAATGCCCGCCAGGGGGCCGGATGTTTATGTCCTTGTGGGCCACGTGACGCCCGGGAGGGGCGTGGCTGCAGAAAGCAGCATGGGTTTGGCGCAGGCGTGTTGCGGTCGGAGCTGTCAGCTCGGCGGGGAAGCTGAGGAGGAGGAGGAGGAGGGGGCGCCTCGGAGGGACTTCCCTTTCCTCCCTTTTCCTCGGGCCTTTTCCCCTCGCAGCCCGGAAATGGCCGGCCACATGCCCCCCTGCGTCGTGGACGCCGGCACCGGGTGAGAGGGACCCGCCTTCGCCCCTCTCTCCTCCTCCTTCCTCTTCATTCACCCCATCTCTTTCATCTCTTCATTTCTCCCTCTTTCACTTCCTCCACCTCCTCTTCTTCCTTCAGCTCTTCCTCTTTCACTTCCTCTTCTTCCTTTACTTCTCTTTCACTTCCTCCTCCTTTTCCTCTTTCATCTCATTTTCCCCTTTCACTTCCTCTTCTTCCTTCACTTCTTCCTCCACCTCCTCTTCTTCCTTTACTTCTTTTTCACTTCCTCCTACTCTTTTTCTTCTTTCATCTCCTCGTTTTCCCTCTTTCACTTCCTCTTCTTCCTTCACTTCTTCCTCCACTTCTTCTTCCTTCAGCTCTTCCTCTTTCACTTCCTCTTCTTCCTTTACTTCTCTTTCACTTCCTCCTACTCCTTTTCCTCTTTCATCTCCTCATTTTCCCTCTTTCACTTCCTCTTCTTCCTCCACTTCTTCCTCCACCTTCTCTTCCCTTCTCTTCCCTTCCTTCTTTCCTTCTCTCCGTTTCACTTCCTCTTTCAGTTCTTTTCAGTTCCCTCCCTTCCCATTTCTTCCTCCTTCACCCCGTCCTCTTTCACTTCCTCTTCTTCCTTTACTTCTCTTTCACTTCCTCCTACTCCTTTTCCTCTTTCCTCTCCTCATTTTTCCCTCTTTCACGTCCTCCACTTTCTCTTCTTCCTTCAGCTCTTCCTCTTTCATTTTCTCTTCTTCCTTTACTTCTCCTTCACTTCCTTCTCCTTTTCCTCTTTCATCTCATTTTCCCCTCTTTCAATTCCTCTTCTTCCTCCACTTCTTCCTCCACCTTCTCTTCTTCCTTCAGCTTTTCCTCTTTCACTTCCTCTTCTTCCTTTACTTCTCCTTCACTTCCTCCTACTCCTTTTCCTCTTTCATCTCATTTTCCCCTCTTTCACTTCCTCTTCTTCCTCCACTTCTTCCTCCACCTTCTCTTCTTCCTTCAGCTCTTCCTCTTTCACTTCCTCTTCTTCCTTTACTTCTCTTTCACTTCCTCCTACTCCTTTTCCTCTTTCATCTCCTCATTTTCCCTCTTTCACTTCCTCTTCTTCCTCCACTTCTTCCTCCACCTTCTCTTCTTCCTTCAGCTCTTCCTCTTTCACTTCCTCTTCTTCCTTTACTTCCCTTTCACTTCCTCCTACTCCTTTTCCTCTTTCATCTCCTCATTTTCCCTCTTTCACTTCCTCTTCTTCCTCCACTCCTCTTCTGCTTTCATGTCCTTATCCTCTTCCTTCACAATCTCTTCTTCCTCCCCTCTTCCTGCTTCACTTCTTCCACTTCCTCCTCCTCCTCTTGTTCTTCTTCCTTCACTTCTTCCTCCTTCTCCCCTCCTTCTTTCTCCATCTCTTGTTCTTCCTTCAGCTCTTCTTCCTTTACTTCTTCCTCTTCCCTCCTCTTGTCCCTCCTTCATCTCCTCCTTTTCCGCATTAATGTTCTTATCCTCTTCCTTCACCATCTCTTCCTCCTCCCCTCTTCTTGCTTCACTTCTTCCACTTCCTTCTTCCTCCCTCTTTTTCCTCCACATCTTTCTCCTCCTCTTCCTACTTCACCTTCTTTTTCTCCTGCACCTCCTCTTCCTCCTTACTTCCCTTCCCCTTTTCTCCTTTTCCTCCACCTCCTTCTCCCCCTCTTTGTTTTTTGCCTCCTTCTTTTCTTCCTAGAACTGTTCTTCCTTTTTCACCTCCTCCTCTTCTTCCCTTTCTTCCTTAACTTTGCCATCCTCCTCTTCCTTTCAACTTATCCTCCCTTATCTCCTTTATCTCAATTCTTCTTTTTCTTCCTTCACTGCTTCCTCCTCTCTTCCTCCTTCAGCTCTTTCACTGCTTCCTCTTTTCCTCATCACCCTGTCCTCTTCCTTTCTTCCTTTACCACTTCTTTCTCCTTCAACTTTTCTTCCTCCCTCTCCCGTTGTCCTGCTTCACCTCTTCCACTTCCTTCTTTCTCATCTTCCTTCACCGCCTCCACATCTTTCTCCTCTTCCTGCTTTACCTTTTTCTCCTTCATCTCCCTTTCCTCTTTCTCCTGTTCCTTCATCTCCTTCTTTTCCTCCTAAAACCAGCTATTCTTCCTCCTGCACCTCCTTCTCCTCTTCTTCCTTCACCTCTTTCACTGCTTCCTCTTCTCCTCACCACCCTCTCCTCTTCCTTTTCCTTTCTTCCTTTACTACTTCTTTCTCCTTCAACTCTTCTTCCTCCCTCTCCACGCGTCCTGCTTCACCTCTTCCACTTTCTTCTTCCTCATCTTCTTTCTTCACTACCTCCACATCTTTCTCCTCTTCCTGCTTCATCTTTTTCTCTTTCATCTCCCTTTCCTCTTTCTCCTGTTCCATCTCCTTCTTTTCCTCCTACACCTACTTTTCCTCCTGCACCTCCTCCTCCTCTTCCTTTTCCTCCTTCACCGCTTCCTCTTCTTCTCCTCATCCACCTTTTCCTCTTCCTTTTCCTCTTCCTTCTCCATTTGCTTGCTTTCCTGCTAAAGTCTAACGGATTAGAGAGCTGCACCAACACTAACTCCCTGCTATGTAACAAGGAGATATATAAGATACTTCATCTAGTCTTCATACAAACAAACAAAAGACATGGTTTTCTTCAAATCTGGGGTTCTAAAACAAACAAAAAAACACACAACAAAAACCTTCAGATTTGCTCAATAATATGCATTATTTCCCACAATTTCTTTTGTTGTTTGATGTTATAAGATATTATTGAATGAAATTAGTATTGTAGGCAGGAAATATTTTTCTCTTATTGCTCTGTATATGCGATGTCAGTCACCAGATGTAAGCTATCCTGGTTTCAGTCAAGACCTATGCCAATAATATCTGCATGTGTTTCACTGGTGAATCCAAAATAGATTTGGCAACTGCCTCGTTCTTTCATTAATACTTATCCTATATGACTTATAGACATGTCTAGGGTACAATCAGAATATTTTTACAATAATTTCTTACGTGATCCAATAATTACGCTTCTTTTAATATCTACTAAGCAGCCTGATTGTTTCAACACCACTTATGGTTGTATAAATCTCGTCTTACAAGTTCCCCTAGCGATCACTTTACATGCTGACTCTGATTCCACATCGGACAGAGTGATCTATTTTAAAACACTTGGAGATGATATGCCTCATTGACCTGGACTGTCCAAAGTATCTCATGTAATGTTTCCTATTCAATGTAACCAATCAACTGAATAAACGGCTAATTTCACAAAATGTGACACTTTTCAGAGTATTCTGTTTGTTGTTGATGCTGTGTTGCATTTGTGATTTGAGAGTGTATTGGGAACAAGTCCTCTTGAATTCTGTTTGAATAAATCAGTAGTTCCTGACTTTTTTTTTTGACCAGGAACCACTTTGATTTTTGTTGTTGTTGTTAGCAAGGAGTACAAGGTTCAATAATAATAAACTGTATTTATCTAAAAGTAAACTTTAATCCAAACTTCTAACATATTTGGTAAACTTAATAGTAATATGAATTAAGAGTATTATTATAATATTAAAAAGAACATTTAAAATATACTTTTTTTTGCAAATTAAAATTAGCTAGCAAGGGAAAAGATGAGAGAGAGGGAGGGAGGGAGAGGGAGAGACAAAGAAAACAAAGAAAATAATAATAATAATAACAACAAGAATAATAATAATTTTAAAAAAGAAAATTAAATTTGGTATGCATCAATGTGATTTTTGAGCTTGCATCTTCTTTACAAGTTGGGTAGTACTGGGGCTAATATTATTGCTCAAGGAAGCAGGAAGGAGGGAGAAATGAAGGGTGTGGGAGGGAAGGAGGAAAGGACCAAGGAAGGAAGGAGAGAAGCAAGAAGGGATGGAGGGCTGGAGGGAGAGAAGGAAGATAGGAAGGAAGTGAGGGAGGAAGGAGAGAGAGAAGGAAGAAAGAAAATAAGGAAGGAGCTCAGCAAGGAAGAAAGGGAGGAAGGGATGGGACTGAAGGAGGGAGGAAAGGAGATAAAGGAAAGGGAGGGAGGAAGAGAAGGAAGAAAAAGAAGGAAGAAGGCAAGGAAGAAAGGGAGGAAGGAATGCGACTGAGGGAGGGAGGGAGGAAGGAAGGAAGAGAGAAGAAGGGAAGGAAAGAAGGRAAAAGGGGAGCAAGAAAGGAAGGAGGGAGGAAGGCGGGAGAGAAAGAAGGAAGAAAATAARGAAGAAGGGAGGCAAGGGAGAAAGGGTGGAAGGGATGGGAYTGAAGGAGGGAAGAAGGGAGATAAAGGAAGGGAAGGAAAGAAGGAAGAAAAGGAAGGAGGGGCAAGGAAGAAAGGGAGGAAGGGATGGGACTGAGGATGGGAGGAAGGGAGAGGAAGGGAAGGAAGGAAGGCAGCAAGAAAGGAAGGAGGGAGAGAAGAAAGAAAAGGAAGGAGGGGGCAAGGAAGAAAGGGAGGGAGGAAGGGAGAGAGAGGAAGGGAAGGAAGGAAAGAAGGAAGGGAGCAAGTAAGGAAGTAAGGAAGTAAGGAGGGGACAAGAAAGAAAGGAAGGAATGGGACTGAGGGAAGGAGGAAGGAAGGGAGAGAGAGAGGAAGGAAAGAAAGAAGGAAGGGAGCAAGGAAGGATGAAAGGAGGGGAGGAAGAAAAGAAAGAAGGCGGGAAGCAAGGAGGGAAGAAGGAAAGAGGGAGGAAGGAGGAAAGTATTGTCATCTTGACCATACTTTGATACTGTAAATCTATCGTAGTTCCTGAAACCTCTAGAAGAAGTATCAAACCATGCCAAATATGTCACAACTCAGATAAATCAGGACGATTCAAGCTGTTTAGGATAAAGAGTTTAAAGTAAGTTGATCCAAGACAAAGCAGGGTGTTTAATTTTGGCAGATTTGGATGAGAAATGGTTAGGACTATGGATAGTTCCAAAATGGAAAAAGTTATTCTCTTGGCTAGGTCAATTTGCTGTTATGCATTTTTGAATTGGCTTCCATTTATGGTGGCCATATTATGTGGTTTTTTTAATCAAGGCATGATCAGAGATAAGACATACTAGTTGTTTGCCATTTGTGTTCAAATGATTGGCTCATTCTTTTTTTGTTTTGTTCTCGTCTTCTAATAGTATCATGAAGCTAACATGATTTTATGACTTTGTTGAGTACATTTGGAAGTGATGATGCCCATAGCTTGGCTCAATCCTGCGTTATGTGCAAAGAGCAGGGCTTTGGTGGGAAAATTCCTAAAAGAAGTCGGAAAACTCTGTGGATTTATTAGTTTTTTGGGGCTGGACTGCAATAAGTCCAAGAAAATTACCAGATTTTGTCTCATGTCCACCTTCCTGCAAAAGCTGTGCCTATTGATCTACTCACATTTGCATGTTTTCGAACTATTAGGGGTGGTGGTGGTCATATCCATTTCTAAGCCGAAGAGCCGGCGTTGTCTGTAGACACCTCCAAAGTCATGTGGCCAGCATGACTGCATGGAGCGCCGTTACCTTCCCATAGAAGCAGTGCCTATTGATATACTCACATTTCCATGTTTTTGAACTGCTAGTTTGGCAGAAGTTGCACCTAACAGCGGGAGCTCACCTCGCTCCCAGGATTCAACCACCTACCTTTCGGTCAGCAAGTTCAGCAGCTCAGCAGTTTAACCCGCTGCGCCACCAGGGGTTCCTCTTAATAACTAGTGTGAGATAAATAAAAATTGTGTTCCATCAAGCAGGTGAATGACATGAACTTTCCTTTTCATGCTAGCATACAGTGTTTCTATATAGATTTTCCTAGAATAGGGACCAAATAGTCTCACTGGCAGCGTGTGTGGTCATTTCAAAAGTCACCATCGTGAAATTCTTGATAATCCATGGTTACTTATCGTTTGCTAAACATGTATATCTTGTCCTAACAACATTTGTTCAGTCAGTCAATAGAATAGAACGGTTTTCAAACTTTGGCACTCCAGCTGTTTTTATTTCATCCTTCAGAGTCCCTGATGATTTGGTCATACCAAATTAAAAAAAACTATATTGTAAATTGTTGCAATTGAAGATTTATCCCCACCCCCATGAGATGCATTCTTTTTTATTTTCTTATTTTAGGTATACAAAACTGGGATATGCTGGCAATACAGAACCACAGTTCATTATCCCATCATGTGAGTAATTTTGTGCCCTCCGTGCTAAAATTATGTGCTTGTTGATTGGAATTAGTGGAAGGTTGGCTTCTCACCTCATCAGTTCTGCTTTCTTTGAGAGGAGTATTCATCTTTTCATCTTCTCTTTCTGGGAAGTGCTATTAATGACACTAGTGCGGCCAAAGAGAAAAGCTAGCTTACTTTCTTGCCAGGACCAACACTCATTAAACTAGTTTCTGGTTGCCATGACAAGTTCTGTTTCTTTCCCATCTCTGTGATGTTGCTGCCAGAGATCTGCCATAGGGAACAAGTTACTTCCTTTTTTACCAGACACCATGGAGACAACTTGAATAACCTTGTGGGTCTTCTGGTCAGTTTAAATATTGAATTGCTAATGCCAACTTGGCTGTGGAGTTTGTACCTTTGTGAACTGGCTAGGATTTTAGAGTTTCAAAAGGGTGCACATATTAAACAAGGCTGTTCCTTTTTCCTTGTAATTTCTTTCTCTGTGTAGGCATTGCAGTAAGAGAATCAGCAAAAATAGGTGACCAAGCACAGAGGAGGCTGACACAAGGAGTTGATGATCTAGATTTTTTTATTGGTGATGAAGCTCTAGATAAACCTACCTATGCAACAAAGGTAAAGTCAGAGCAAAAAAACCTGAACTAAAAAACCTGGTGATTTTTGTTTTTCATGACAGTACCACAACTAATAATAATAATAATAATAATAATAATAATAATAATAATAATAATAATACTTTATTTATATTCCGCTTTGTCTATCCGGAGGGACTCAGGGTGGATTCCAAACATAAAAGGCAAACATTCAATGCCCAAATACAACAACAATACATCCATAATCACAACATTTATACAACCCAACATATTAATACAAATTATAACTTAACAAACTAAAATTAAACAAAAAGCACAGCAGATATAAGACAAAATATCAAACATCAAATGGAAACAATAATTTCCCATTTCTTCGGGACAAATTGATTAATAATTGCTCAAGATATCTATTGAGCTGGTGGGATGAGCAGGGTACAGATACGGGTGGCAACTATTAATCAGAGGTATAATGGTAGTATTACTAACTACTATTCCTCCTCCTCATAAGCCAGTGAGCAAAGGTATGTCTTCAGATGTTTTTTGAAAGCAGGGAGGGAGGGGGCCATCTTTAACTCCTTAGGAAGGGAGTTCCAGAGGTGGGGGCAGCTACGGAGAAGGCCCTTTCTCTCGTTCCCACCAGCTATGCTTGGGACGGGGGTGGAACTGAGAGGAGGACCTCCTCCAGTGACCACAGTACCACAACTTTAGATGGAATACAAGTCTTCTTAAAAAATATTGATTCCAAAGGATTTGGTGTCAAGTCACCTGTTGACTTATGGTGACCCCATGAATTGCATAAGGTTTTCTTAGTCAAGGAATACTCAAAGGTGGTTTGGCATTGCCTACTCCAGGACGGGAGTATTAAAAAAACTCTAAAATCAGGACAGTTAAAAAAAAAGAATAACACACAGAAAATGGGAATTCCAGACAGGAAACAATCAGGACCAGCTAATACCCGCCAACAAAGGATTCCCCGGGCAGGAAGCAGCCAGGCTTTGAAGCTGCAGGGCTATTCAATGGTAATCAAGGTGGTTAATTGCAGCCTTCACACTTTCCTCAAACAGACAAGAGTTCTTTCTCCTATGCTGGACAGATATATAAACCCACTTGTTTAGTTTCCAACAAACCTCACAATTTCTGAGGATGCTTGCCATAGATGTCAGCAAAAAGTCAGGAGAGATTGCTTCTGGAACATGGCCATACAGCCCGGAAAACTCACAGCAATCCAACATTATCATCCTTTATGGTTTTGGAAAGACTGGTATTTCAGCTTCCTCTAAATTTAGGCTTTCTAGAATAGCCTAAAAAATTATCGTTATACTTTATGCAATAGAGTTCTTCACTATGGGACCAATGTGGTTACATTGGAGATCTTGGCAGGCTACACCAAATCACAGTCTGCACAATTACAAATGGTGTGGAAGGATGTGGAGTATTCCAGTATAGTCAAATTATTTGTTAATTGAAAGCCATGGTGATGGTGCTCACTTGGAGGTGTCATCGCATAATGGTTCCAGTTTCAAAATTTGCCCCTTGCCCAGTCTCTGGCATTGACCATGCATATACAAACTTAATTGCAAGTTTGTGCTCTTTTACTTGGGGTTGTGCACTAGACTATGTTCTAAATCTCCATTGGACTCTTGACATGTCCACTAAACCTGACATAGAAAAGTGCTGCTCTCTTCGTGTAGGCATTACACATGACTTATATTGCCTTGCATCAAAGCCAGTGGAACAGACTCAGCCCACAATGTGCATTCAAGGAGTGTTGTCTCCTTGAATGTGTTGTTGTCTGCTGTACTAGGGAGACTAGAATATACAACTATTATATGATGTGTTTGGAAGAGTGACACCTTGCTTCCGTTCATCTTTGCTTCAGTGGCCTATACGACATGGTATTGTAGAAGACTGGGACCTTATGGAAAAGTTCATGGAACAAGTTATTTTTAAATATCTTCGGGCAGAACCAGAAGATCACTACTTCTTAATGGTAAGGCAAATGGTATTCGATTCTTAACTTGACTTTGTTGAGAAGTGGCTTAGTTCTGTGGGCTGGGTTGTCCCCTGGGGCCAGTTTTGTAGGTAAGATGATGTGAGGAGGCAAGCAGTTCTTGTCCTCTGGTCCTGGTGAAACAATATGGGCTGTGTGGGAGTTGAAGTCCAAAACACCTGGAGGGCTCTACTTTGCCCATACCTGCTCTATGCTAACTTCCAATGGAAGTTGTTGATTTCTATTCGGCATGGTTTCCTGTTTAATGGAGAAGGACCTTTACCACCAGGAGGGGTCTTTCTGTTTGAGCAATAGGACATTGTCCACCCAACTCCAACCTTCTCGCAGTGGTTCCCAGGTTCCCAACCTTTAGGCCTCTAGGTGTTTTGGACTTGAACTCCCAGAAATCCCAGCCATCTATCCAGCTGTTAGGAATTGTGGCAGTTGAAGTCCAAAACAACTGGAGCCCCAAAGAATAATAGAATAATAGAATCATAGAGTTGGAAGAGACCTCATGGGCCATCTGTCCAACCCCCTGTCAAGAAGCAGGACAATCACATTCAAAATACCTCCAACAAATGGCCATTCAGCCTCTGTTTAAAAACTTCCATAAAAGGAACCTCCACCACACTTTGAGGTAGAGAGTTCCTCAGCTGAACAGCTCTAACAGTTAGGAAGTTCTTCCTAATGTTCAGGAGGAATCTCCTTTCCTGTAGTTTAAAGCCATTGCTCTGCATCCTAGATTCCGGGGCAGCAAAAAACAAGTTTGCTCCCTCCTCCCTATGATTTCCCTTCATGTCTCCTCATAGTTTTCTCTTGGCCATCTGTCGGGGGTGCTTTGAATGTAATTTTCCTGCTTCTTGGCAGGGGGTTGGACTGGATGGCCCATGAGGTCTCTTCCAACTCTACGTTTCTACGATTCTATGATTCATCTTCAGGCTAAACATGCCCAACTCTTTAAGCCGCTCCTCATAGGGCTTGTTCTCCAGACTCTAGATCATTTTAGTCACCCTTCTCTGGACACATTCCAGCTTGTCAACATCTCCCTTCAATTGTGGTGCCCAGAATTGGACACAGTATTCCAAGCGTAGTCTAACCAAGGCAGAATAGAGGGGTAGCGTGACCTCCCTGGTCCTAGGCACTAAACTCCTATTTATGCAGGCCAAAATCCCATTGGCTTTTTAAGCTGTTTTTTTATAGACTGTAGAAGAAATATTTTTTTCTCTGTTTTTTAAAAATCCGGTAGATTTATGAGCTTATTGCAACCTATTTCAAATTGTTGGCTCATGTTTAACTTGTCCATGAGGACTCCAAGATCTTTTCACATGTCTCCCATTCCGTATCCTTGCATTTCATTTTTTCCACCAAAGTGGAGTATCTTACATTTGTCCCCATTGAACTTCGTTTTGTTAGTTTTGGCCCATCTCTCTAATCTGTTAAGATCGTTTTGAATTCTGCTCCTGTCTTCTGGAGTATTGGCTATCCCTCCCAATTTGGGAACCACTGCGAAAAGGTTGGAGTTGGGTGGATAATGTCCCATTGCTTAAACAGAAAGACCACTCCTGGTGGTAAGGGTCCTTCTCCATTAAACAGGAAACCATGGACAATACCCAACCAAATATAAATCAACAACTTCCATTGGAAGTTAGTGTAGAGTAGGTATGGGCAAAGTAGGGACCTCCAGGTGTTTTGGACTTCAATTCCAATAATTCCTAATAGCTGGTAGGTTGTTAGGAATTGTGGGACTTGAAGTCCAAAACACTTGAAGGGCCCCAACTTTGTCCATACATGGCGCAGAATCAGAATGGATGACCTAGGACAGTGTTTCTCAATCTGGGGGTCGGGACCCCTGGATGGGTCGTGAGGAGGTTTCAGAGGGGTCGCCAAAGACCATTATGAAAACAGTATTTTCTGTTGGTCATGACAGTTCTGTGTGGGAAGTTTGGCCCAATTCTAACCTTGGTGGGGTTCAGAATGTTCTTTGATTGTAGATGAATGATAAATCTCAGCAACTACAACCCCCAAATGCCAAGTCTATTTTCCCTACACTCCACCAGAGTTCACATTTGGACATATTGATTTTCATGCCAAGTTTGGTCCAGATCCATCATTGTTTTGAGTCCACAGTGCTCTCGGGACGTAGGTGAACTACAACTCCAAAACTCAAGGTCAATGCCCACCAAACCTTTCCAGTATTTTCTGTTGGTCATGGGAGTTCTGTGTGCCACGTTTGGTTCAATTCTATCATTGGTGGAGTTCAGAATGCTCTTTGATTTATTTATTTATTTATTTATTTATTTACTTTATTTGTATACCGCTGTTCTCAGCCCTTAGGTGACTCACAGCAGTTAACAACAAGAACAGCAAAATTCAATGCTACAATAACACGGTATAAAAAACAGTTAACATCATAACACATTATACAGTAATATACAATTAACAATAGCCATTCACTAGCGTCTCGTCACTGAAAAACATGACCCAGATCCATCATCCATTGTTCCATTCCTATGTTCATTATACTCATTGCACTGACTATTCGAACGCCTGCTCAAACAACCAGGTTTTCACTTTTTTGCGGAATACCATTAATGATGGAGCTAATCTAATGTCCGTGGGAAGGGCGATCCACAGCTGCGGGGCCACCACCGAGAAGGCCCTATCTCTCTCTGTGAGGCAGGCGGGATCGAGAGCAGGGCCTCCCCGGAAGATCTCAAAGTCCTGGTGGGGAGAAGGCCCTATCTCTCGTCCCCGCCAGCCGTGCTTGTGAGGCAGGCGGGATCGAGAGCAGGGCCTCCCCGGAAGATCTCAAAGTCCTGGTGGGTTCATAGGCAGAGATGCGGTCGGATAGGTAGCTTGGGCCAGAACCGTTTAGGGCTTTAAAGGCCAACGCCAGCACTTTGAATTGAGCTCGGTAGCAAATCGGTAGCCAGTGGAGTTGGCGCAACAGGGGGGTTGATTGCAGATGAACTATAAATCCCAGCAACTACAACTCCCAAATGATGGAATCAATCCCCTCTAATCCCACCAGTATTCAAATTTGGGTGTATCGGGTCTTTGTGCCAAATTTGGTCCAGTGAATGAAAATACATCCTGTATAACAGTAGCAAAATTACAGTTGTGAAGTAGTAATGAAAATAATTTTATGGTTGGGGGTCACCACAACATAAGGAACTGTATTAAGGGGTTGTAGCATTAGGAAGGTTGAGAACCACTGACCTAGGAGATTCCTAGAAAACTCCATATTGTGTGGATGGATAAAACCATGAGTACTGGTTCCACACTTATGGGGATGTATTGTATGTACCTAATTCATGTGATATTTTGACGCATACTCTTAAAAGGCCTTATTATTACAACTAAAATCTATTGTGTGAGCAGCTCTCAGAATGCTTTTTACTGTGTTAAATTTTCATACATTTTTATTGCCAAAGGAACAATTTATAAAATTACTCGAGAACTGTATTCCAGTAAATTTGTTTCTCAGGCTGCCTGGCTTGAGTGCTTTTAATAATAATAATTTTTTAAAAAAGCTTTGGGTAGCTTGATTATATTACCAATGCCGCTTGAAATAATTGGCTGATTTTTACTTAGACAAAGGACAGCAAAATGGAGTAAAATGTCGCTTAGCAATATGTGGTGTAGTAGCGACACACTCAATTTTGTATTTCCTTCCGTGGAAGCTTTTCACCAGAGATAACATTAAATTTCTTTAATGTAAGATATTTTCTGAAGCTGCAATCAGGGATTTTAAAAATGTTTATGTAAGGAAATAATAATATGTAGAATATAAAGTCCAACTCTGCTTTTTATTACTTATTTAATTTTCTAAAAAAATGTATAAGGGACCAAATTAACTCTGCTTTCACACTTATAAGTGGCATAATTTCACTCTGCCTCCTCCCACCCAATCTCCCTTTCTATTTTTCCAGATGAAATGTTGAAAAACTGCTTGGGTGCTATTCCTAGCTTACTGTTTTTCAGAAGTCAGGCTTTATGTGGTTGGAATATGAAGTTTACTATCTTCTTTCCAAGGCTTAGTTGGACTAAGATTTCCATGTAAGGAACAGGGGCTTCAGCTACTAGGTGTCCTAAAATTTTAGGTTCTACTTCACTCTGGTAATGGTGATGAGGCAACACTCATTGGGACAATTAATAACAAATATAATTTTGCTGAATATATGAGGGTTGAATGAAAAGTAATGCCTCCACTTTCATAACTCCTCAACGGATGGCAGTACTGGTATGCGGCAGGTACTGACTTGTTCAGTAGACTCTCCTCTACAATTTTGGTGGGAAGCTTTAGCATTGAATGGTTGTGTTGTTAAAGTGTGAAGTATGGAACCCTGTGCAGATGGTCGGTCAATGCGACTTAAGCAATGTGCAGTCATTGAATTCTTGACAGCAGAAGGTGTCACCCCAAAGGAGATTCATCAGAGAATGCAAGCTGTTTATGGTGATTGTGTTGATGGGAGTACTGTGTGTCATTGGGTGAGTAAGTTTAAAGATATTGAGGTGGGAACATCTGACTTGTGTGACAAACAAAGAGTTGGACGTCCTGTGACAGCAACCACCGAGTTTCACAAGCAAAAGGTTGACAGACTGATTCAGGACAATTGTTGTATAACTCAGAGAGAAATTTCAAGCATAATTGGCATTTCACAAGAATATGTGGGTCACATTATTGCTTTGCTTGGCTATCAGAAGATCTGTGCACGATGGGTTGCGGAAACAGAATGTTGACTTCTTCCATGACAGCTTCTGAAAACGTGTTCATCATTGGCAGAAATGTATCCAATTGTCTGGTGGTTATGTGGAAAAGTGAATAGTGATAATTAAAGAGCACATTCTAAGGATTATTTCTGCGTTTGATTTATTAAAATATTCCCATCCAATCCAAGTAATAAAGGAAGGAGGCATTACTTTTCATTCAACCCTGGTAGTACAGTGTGGGAGCCCCTGGTGGCGCAGCGGGTTAAACCACTGACCTGCTGAACTTACTGACCGAAAGGTCAGCAGTAAATATCCAGGGAGCGGGGTGAGCTCCCGCTGCTAGCCCTAACTTCTGCCAACCTAGCATTTTGAAAACATGCAAATGTGAGTAGATCAATAGGTGCCACTTCGGCTGGAAAGTAACGGTGCTCCATGCAGTCATGCCAGCCACATAACCTTGGAGGTGTCTACTGACAACGCCTACTCTTTGGTTTAGGAATGGAGGTGAGCACCCCCCCCCCCCACCCGAGTTGGACACAACTAGACTTAATATTAAGGGGAAACCTTTACCTTTACTATAGTACAATGTATGACGATCATTCCATATCATGTTCTGGAACATAAGTATACCTGGTTGCAATGTTCCTTTTCTAGTAATATCAGTCTAGGTCATAACTTTATTGCAACCCCTTTATCTACAAGACTTGTATCCAGGATTTCATTTATCCAGGTCCTCTTTAGGCATTTTCTCAGTGGTCTAGAATGATTCTATGGTATTCTTGAACCAGAAGTCCTTAATTTTTCAATGGTGTTTGCCACAACTGAAAAGGCCATTCTCTTTGTCATTTCTTTCTTAGGTCACCTTTATTTATTTACCATATTTATACCCTCACCCCGAAGGGGAGTGGAGGAGAGAAGCGAGAGAGGCCTTTTCTAATGTTTTACTGTTTTTATGTTTTTATAATGTTTTATACTGTTTTTATGTAAGATGTATATTTATGCTTTTGTTGTCAGCTGCCCTGATTCTGAAATAAATAAATAAATAAATAAATAAATAAATAAATAAATAAATAAATATTTTTAACTACTGAAGACTCTTGCAGTACAAATAATAATTAAGGAACATGTGCCATGACAATCTGAATGGCTATGGTGTACGATTTTTTGACTATGTAATTTTAATATTTATTCTTAGATGATTTTAACGTTTTGTTTGAATGTTTAAATTGGTTTATGTCTTATGTTTAATGGTTTTGATTATTTGAAGTCATGGTTATATGTAGTGATTAGTTATTATGATTTCTTTGTTGTATTGTATGTTGGCATTGAATTTTTGCCATTAGTATGTTATAAACCACCTTGAGTCCCCTCTGGGGTGAGAAAGGCGGTATATCAATACAATAAACAAATAAAGAAACTCTGTTGGGAACAGGAACTTAAAGAACATTCATAGATTGTCTTTTCCCTGTTGAAAAATAGCCAGCTATTGTGAAGGTTTTTTTTGTTTTTTTTGTCTTCCACAAGTGAAAAGATCAGCACTACTAGGAGAGGAGATTGTATTCACGAGTCTTTGGACAAAAACTACTTTTGAGCAAAAAAGTGTATGTATTGCAGTGTTTTGGTTTAAAAGCATCGAATGCACAGCAAAAGCAATGTTCTTTGCGTGAATAAGACTGTAGCAGAAATGTCTTAAAATGTGAACAAATAAAGAAATTGCAAAACATTTTAACATATATGTTCTGTGTTTTTTTTAAACCCAGACAGAGCCACCACTGAACACTCCTGAAAATAGAGAATATCTGGCAGAAATCATGTTTGAGTCTTTTAACATACCAGGACTTTATATTGCTGTTCAGGTACATAGTGAATATTTTATTATTTGGTGTCTTAGCAGAGGAAATGTTGGAGTTTTCCAAATCTATGCTTCTTAAAGAGGACATGAAATAGCTGTGCATCCTGGAAATGCAACCAGTATTTCTACCACTTCCTTCGAAGGTGACAGCACATGAATCAGGGCCACAAATACTGAATGCAGCAGATATGGATGGAGGCAGCCCCTTGAATATCTTATTATTAAAATACTATATTTTGGGACTTTTTAGGAAGGCAAATCTAATGATTCTGGGAAGATGTCTTCCTTGGAAGTGATGTCACAAGATCTTCTTGGGGCAGTCCATTAAATTACTTTTCTGCTTGACTTTACTTTATCAGATGGAAGCTGTAGTAGTAGTATTAATAATAATAGCACTTTTAAAGATGGTTCAAATGCTTAAAGTATGCTTCCACTGCTATTTTTCAGCCATCTTTTCCAATACGCTGATATTGCTATTCACAAAGTGTATATTTTAGATTGTATGCTAATGCATTTATGTGCTTTTGAGTCTCCATCAAGAGAGATAAAGTTGGGTATAAATAAATATAATAAACAATAATAATAGTGCAAAGTCACCGAGAGATGGTATCTTTCCTAAAATTTAAACCAGAATGCAATTAATAAATGCAATTTATGGATACCATTTTCTTATGTTAATAGCTTCCCTTCCATGGCGAGGACAAAATTAGTCCCCCTAATATTGTTTTTTGCCCATTTAATGAAGTCTCAGTTGATGCCATTAGAGCAGGCATGGTCAAACTTTGGCCCTCCAGGTGTTTTGGACTTCAACTCCCACAATTCTTAACAGTCTACTGGCTGTTAGGAATTGTGGGAGTTGAAGTCCAAAACACCCGGAGGGCCCAAGTTTGACCATGCCTGCATTAGAGGCTTCTTTAGAAAGTCAAATAACAATTTTGGCTGGCCAGTCTTCTTGAATGACACATATATAAAACATATGTCTGTTAATCAAAACTGATTTGGTTCTGAAGCTACATGTGATCACAGAATCCAGATTTGAGCTGAGACCTCCCTACTTTGCAGCTGAAATATTTAACTATTATTTTTATCTCAGACTTTTAACCTTTTTTAATTATGTTGGAAATTTGGGCGAGGCTTTTGAGCGTACTGTTTTTATGCTTGAACTCTTTGAATTTGTCCAGGCAGTGTTAGCTTTAGCTGCATCTTGGACTTCACGGCAAGTTGGGGACCGTACCTTGACAGGTGTCGTTATTGACAGCGGTGATGGAGTGACCCATGTAATTCCAGTGGTGAGTACTATGTATGTTCAACCTTGTTTGTATGAAATGTTTTGGGCTTTCCTTCCAAAATGTCATTGTATTATTTATTCAGTTAGTTAGTTTATCTGTTTATTTATTTAGTTTCCCAGCAGACCTCACCATAGAATCATAGAATCAAAGAGTTGGAAGAGACCTCATGGGCCATCCAGTCCAACCCCCTGCCAAGAAGCAGGAATATTGCATTTAAATCACCCCTGACAGATGGTCATCCAGCCTCTGTTTAAAAGCTTTCAAAGAAGGAGCCTCCACCACACACCAGGGCAGAGAGTTCCACTGCTGAACGGCTCTCACAGTCAGGAAGTTCTTCCTCATGTTCAGATGGAATCTCCTTTCTTATAGTTTGAAGCCATTGTTTCATGTCCTAGTCTCCAGGGAAGGAGAAAACAAGCTTGCTCCCTCCCCCTGTGGATGCCTGCTATAGATGTGGGCGAAACATCAGGAGAGAATGCTTCTGGAAAAATGGCCATACAGCTCGGAAAACTCACAGGAACCTCAATAGGGTTTATATCTTAGTATCTAAATTCAGAGAACACAGATAAGTATCAGACAAAATAATAATATATTGTCGAAGGCTTTCATGGTTGGAATCACTCAGTTCTTGTGGGTTTTTTCGGGCTATATGGCCATGTTCTAGAGGCATTTCTCCTGACGTTTCACCTGCATCTATGCCAAGCATCCTCAGAGGTGAGGAAAATAATAAAACTTTCAACCTCATTAGGAAAGCAAATGCTTGTTTACTGTACCAAAATACAAAATTACTTCCATGTGCATTATATTTGTGTGTACCCAGTGGAAACTGAAATTCTGGTTTCTTTGTGAACAGGAACCTCCCATTTCTAGTTGTCGGCCACGTTTGTCAGGCTGCTTATTTTTTTTTTAAAAATAGTTTATTATTTATTTATTGTCTTTGAAATATTTATATTCCACCTTTTAGCCCTTACAAGGGCTCCCAAGGTGGCTTTCACTTAATATTAAAAATTAACCACCAGTATAATGGCATAAAATCTAAGAGCATAAAAACTCCAATGAATCCATTAAAATGGGGAATTGGGACATTAAACCAAAAGGATAACAGCACAAAGGATTTTTTTAAATAGTGTTAACCAAATGCCTAGAGATATTAGTGTGTTCAAAAGTCATCTAGACATCATAGAAAATGGTTGAGAGGGACAGCTTAAGCCCCTGTTCCATTTCTGAATGAGAAAGCTCCATTGCTCCATCTTTACTACAAACTCCTCTTAAAGTGACAGTTTGTGGATCAGGGCCACATTTGCAGAAAGCAGCAGATAGGAAGCCTTGTATGGAACGAGGCAGCCCAGCCCTTTGAATAACTTATTTCCAAAAAAAGATAATTTGGAACTTTGTGGATAATAATCTGTGCTTGGAATTATGTCTGGAAATGAATGGGTAAGCAAGTGCAAAACATTTCACAAATCGTTCCATAAAACATCTCTGGGGGTTACTCCGGCTACTGCATTTTGCAGCAGGCAGAGTTTCCAAAAGCTTTTCAGAGGCAGAGCACACGGCTCTAATTTGTGGTGCAGCATGGCAAGGAGACCCGCTGAGAATGAAAAGGCCGAGAAAATCCCACCGGGCCTTTGCAAACCCTTGAGTACACGGAAAGTAGCTTTTTGGAACCCAGCCCAGGCTGATTAAAATAGCTATTTCTCCCCGAAGGCATGTTTTGAACACCATTTCTGTTGCTAGTTTAATTCATTTGGGACCTTGAAGAAGCTGAAATTCTGTTTGCGGGGTGAAAAAAGTGATCCGCTTAGCTGTTTGAACTGTTGTCTGTCTGTTCTCCCTCCCCCTCTGTCTACCCACCTAGATTACACTTTGCATTTGATAAAGCTTGACATCGCAAACATTTCTCATGAGCACAAGGCAGGGTTTAACACACCTGTCAATGCCTATCTGATCTGCCTTGGGTGACTTCAAATGTCAGAATGTGGTTCTGGCCATGACTTGGTACCTTGGAGACTAAAATGCTGGTAGGCAGAAAGCAGGCCAGGCCAAGTGATTAAAACCTGTCTGCAGGAAAGTTTGTTAGAGAGACAACCTAAAACTATTTTAAATACTAGCCATCCCCTGCCATGCGTTGCTGTGACCCAGTCTGGTGATCTGGAAAATAAAGTAATGAGAAAATGTTGGTTTCTAATATAGGAAATTTCTTTATGCTCATGGGTTAACAGTATTTCTTGTTGTTTCTTTGTCAGTGCTGATGTGGAGATTGTCTGGTTTGCCTGCTCTGGAACATGCAACATATAATTGTCCTTCTTTAGGGGTCCCTTTCAAATCTATGATACTGTATCTGTATGTGTGTGAATCACATTTATCTATCTTTATCTATGGCTGGATGGTAGGCTTGGTTGATCAAGAAAAAAATTGGTTCTAAACTCGTTTCGTTTCTAGGGGGCGCCAGCGCTTCTAATCTCATTGGATTTCCGAAATTTCCATTTTCAAAAATTTGATATTTAAGAAATTTTGTTAATATACGAATCGATTCGTTAATGGTGGACGCGATTGCGCAATGCGCGAAAAAAACCTCCAAACGGGACAGGGGGAACGCTTTAAAACGGCTTGTCTTAACCCAGCTAATTGTCTTCCTGGCCAGCAGCTTAAAACTATTATTACTATATATTATATTATATATATTATATTATATTATCATAATATTATTATATTATATTATTGTATATTATATTATATTACAGCATATTATAATATATTATATGATAATATWAYATATTATSTAATATAWTATATTAYAATATKMTGTAATATAATATAATATRMTGTAATATAATAATAATATAATATAATATAATAATAATATAATATATATAATATAGTAATAATAGTTTTAAGCTGCTGGCCAGGAAGAYAATTAGCTGGGTTAAGACAAGCATGAGGAAAGAGGAGGGAAGCAGCAGAGCAAAGGTGGCCGGCAGGAGGGGAGAGAGAGAGGAAATTCATCGGCTTAAGCTGGGTAAATGCGCCGCTTGCTACCGGGGAGGGAAGAGAAACTGCGAGATTGTAAAACTTTCACCAGACATACGAAAATAATTACAAAAATTGGAAAAATTGTTTCGATTCTTAATTACTCCTCACACTATTCCTGCATGGCTCGATATTGGATCATAAGCTAATTTAAATATGAATGCATAACGAGTTTTGAAACTAACGAACACGATCAACCAAGTCTACTGGATGGTTCTTTGTCAGCAGGGCTTTGATTATGTTTTCTTGCCCTGGTGAAGGGAGTTGGAATGGATGGCCTTAAGTATTTTCTGTTGGTCATGGGGGTTCTGTGTGGGAAGTCTGCCCCAATTCTGTCATTCGTGGGTCCAAAATGCTCTTTGATTGTAGGTGAACTATAAATCCCAGTAACTACAACTCCCAAATGTCAAGGTCTATTTTCCCCAAACTCCATCTGTGTTCATATTTGGGCATATGGAATATTCGTGTCAAGTTTGGTCCAGATTCATCATTGTTTGAGTCCACAATGCACTCTGGATGTAGGTGAACTACAACTCCCGAACTCAAGGTCAATGCCCACCAAACCCTTCTAGTGTTTTCTGTTGGGCATGGGAGTCCTGTATGTCACGTTTGGTTCAATTCCATCATTGGTGGAGTTTGGAATACTCTTTGATTGTAGGTGAACTATAAATCCCATTAACTACAACTCCCAAATGACAAAATCAATTTTTTTGAGTGAAGGACATACATTAGGTTTAGGTGTCTTGTGTTCAAATTTGGTGTCAATTCGTCAAGTGGTTTTTGAGTTATGTTAATCCTACAAACGAACATTACATTTTTATTTATATAGATAATTGAGAAGTAGGGAATACTGAATTTGTTATAGTGGTTCTGTTTATAGACATTTCAACTAAGCACTTTTTTTTCTCCTTCTCTAGGCAGAAGGCTATGTAATTGGCAGCTGCATCAAACATATCCCCATTGCAGGTAGAGATATTACATATTTCATTCAGCAACTCCTGAGGGAGAGGGAGGCGGGGATCCCACCTGAACAATCGTTGGAGACAGCTAAGGCCATAAAGGTAAACAATGTTTGTGAAACTAACCCGCCTGTAAGGAATTGCCAGTGAGCCGTTTAAATAGAAGAACTTTGCAGAAACATTCTTTGCTCACTTAGGTCTGTATAACTCCCCCAAGCCTTAATTTCAGGCCTTGGCAAACTTGGGCCGTCCAGGTGTTTTGGACTTCAACTTTCACAATTCCTAACAGCCGGTAGGCTGTTAGGAATTGTGGGAGTTGAAGTCCAAAACACCTGGACAGCCCAAATTTGCCCAGGCCTGATTTATCTGATGCTACTGTAGTTTATTTGATGGTACATATTGTATATCCTGTATAGTTAACAGAATATGCTACAGCTCTATTTGCCTTGCTAGAGTACTGTATTCCATGCAGAAGTCAAACACCCAAATATTTTTGTATGACAAACTCTGGAGTTTTTCATGTCCACGTCCTAGGTAAATAAGACTCTCTCCACACTCGCATGTTGTGAACTCCACTTTGTATCCCCATTTCTTAAGGATATCTCAGCATCTTGTGGTGCCAGAGCCTGTTCAGTGCCTTTTAGGTTGCCCACTCTTCTGTGTGCCCAGGAGGGAGGTTCTTATCAGATCTCAGCCACTGATTGAGGTGCTGGGCTTTAGCCTGCCGCTTTTGGACTCTCGCTTGCTGAGGTGTTCCTGCAAGTATCTCTGTAGATCTTAGGAAGCTGTTTCTTGATTTAAGTAGTTGGCATGCTGGCTGATATCTGAACAGAGGATGGGCCAATGATGTCAGTGCCTTGGTCCTTTCATTGCTGGCTGCTACTTCCTGGCAGATGTCAGGTGGTGCGATGCTAGCTAAACAGTGTAATTTCTCCAGTGGTGTGGGATTAAGACATCCTGTGATAATGCGGCATGTCTCATTAAGAGCCACATCCACTGTTTTAGGATAGTGAGATATTTTCCACACTGGACATGCATACTCAGCAGCAGAGTAGTAAAGCATAAGAGCAGATGTCTTCACTATGTCTGGTTGTGATCCCCAGGTTGTGCCAGTCAGCTTTCGTATGATATTATTTCTAGCACCCTCTTTTTGCTTGATATTCAAGCAGTGTGTCTTGTAGGTCAGAACACGGTCCAGAGGTTTTTTGTTTTTGTTTTGTCGTGGCAGGAGCGACTTGAGAAACTGCAAGTCGCTTCTGGTGTGAGAGAATTGGCTGCCTGCAAGGACGTTGCCCAGGGGACGCCCAGATGATTTGATGTTTTTATCCTTGTGGGAGGCTTCTCTCATGTCCCCGCATGAGGAGCTGGAGCTGATAGAGGGAGCTCATCCGCCTCTCCCCGGATTCGAACCTGTGACCTGTCAGTCTTCAGTCCTGCCGGCACAGGGGTTTAACCCACTGCGCCACCGGGTGCTCCAGAGTGACTCCCAGGTATTTTGGTGTACTGCTGTGCACTACTGGGATTCTTTCCCAGGTAATCCTCAGAACTTGAGATGCTTGTCTGTTCTTAAAGTGAAATCACATGTTCATTTTAGATGGATTAGGAATCAGCTGGTTTTCCCTGCCATAGGCAGTAAGAGCACCTAAACCTTCAGAGAGCTTCTGTTCAACCATTTCAAAGCTCCCTGCTTGAGCGATGATAGCATGATCATCAGCATAGATGAAACTGTCTGTCCCATCTGGCAGTGGCTGATCATTTGTGTAAATGTTAAAAATTGATAGAGCAAGCACACTCTCCTGAGGCAGGCTGTTGTTCTGTTTTCGCCATCTGCTTTTCTTGCCCTGGAACTCAACAAAAAGCTCCTGTTTTGTAGCACATTTCCTATGAAGCAGGTGAGGTGGCAGTCCTTTGTGATATTATACATTTTTCTCTGGAGAAGGCTATGATTTACAGTATCATATGCAACTTGCAGCATTGCAGTGCCTTAAGATTTCAATTGGGCATATTACACATTTAGGCATCCAAATAAATTGGCAAAGGGAGTCAATCGAAGGAATACAAATGCAGCAAATATAGTTCTGGATCTGATTGAATTTTTCTGTCTCACTTTCTACAATGCTAGTTATTGGGAGACAAAAGAAACATTTCTATTGGAAGCTTTTTTACTGGAGAGACAATGCCATTATCCCTCTGTATAGTGCTCCCTTGGATCTACTTTTGCTCACAAGTACTTGATTACAGCGTAGTATGCTTTAAAGAAGACAAGGTAAATAAACAGACACAGAATCGGCATTAACTGACTATAAACTGGGTTTGGAGATTTCTAGTTGTGTTGCGATATCAACTTTGGAGTCAGCTATTCAATTTGGCATGTTCTATCAGTCTGACAAAAATAAATATATTCCATTACATTTATTTACAGGAAAAATATTGTTACATTTGCCCTGACATAGTAAGAGAATTTTCCAAATATGATGCAGATCCACAGAAGTGGATAAAGCAATACACAGGCATCAACGCAATCAACCAAAATAAGTATGTTATTGACGTTGGTTACGAACGATTTCTTGGGCCAGAAATCTTCTTTCATCCAGAGGTAAGGAAGAAGTCTACTTCCCCAACCTTAATAATAATTATAATAGTAATAGTAAAAGTAAGAATCACACTTCTTGTGATAGAGCAACACCTAGTGGCTAAATCATAGTAAGATACAACAGAAAATGTATAACTAAAATCACACTTATTTTAATGTATTGTCGTTGTAACTACTGTCGTAGTTTCAGCATTTAAATATTACTAAGGAGAGTTTCTGTATTAACCATCCAGTGTCTTTCATGGCTGGAATCACTGGGTTGGTGTGGGTTTTCTGGGCTATATTGCAATGTTCCAGAAGCATTCTCTCCTGATGTTTCACCCATATCTATGGCAGGCATCCCCAGAGGTTGTGAGGTCTGTTGGAAACTAGGCAAGTGGGGTTTATATAGATGTGGAATGCCCTGGGTGGGAGAAAGAACTCTTGTCTGTTGGAGGCAAGTGTGAATGTTGCAGTTGATCACCTTGATTAGCATTGAATATCCTTGGAGCTTCAAAGTCTGCTGCTTCCTTCCTTTGTTTGGAGTTTTAGCTGGTCCTGATTGTTTATTGTCTGCCATTCCCCTGTTTTCTGAGTGTTGTCCTTGTTGTTCAGTGCTAATCAAGGTGACCAATTGAAACGTTCACACTTGCCTGTAACAGACAAGAGTTCTTTCTCCCACCCTGGACATAATTCCACAGATATATAAACCCCACTTACCTAGTTTACAWCAGCCCTCACAACTTCTGAGGATGCCTGCCATAGATGTGGGCAAAACGYCAGGAGAGAATGCTTCTGGAATGTGGCCATACAGCCCAGAAAACTCACAACAACCCAGTGTCTCTTACACTTCCCCATATCCATGTTTGTATTTTTAGTTTGCCAATGCAGATTTCATGGAATCGATTTCGGATGTTGTTGACGAAGTTGTACAGAACTGCCCTATTGATGTCAGGCGCCCTTTATATAAGGTATGGTTTTAGAATAGATTATCTGTGTATAAAGGAGMGTTGCYGAAGTATATTTATCTGAAAACTGAGGACCAAAAGTTGAATAACAAAAAGTAAAGGTAAAGGTTTCCCCTGACATTAAGTGTAGTTGTGTCCAACTCTGGGGGGTGGTGCTCATCTCCATTTCTAAGCTGAAGAGCTGGCATTGTCCATAGACACCGCCAAGGTCATGTGGCCAGCATGACAGTATGGAGCGCTGTTACCTTCCCGCAGAAGTGGTACCTATTAATCTACTCACATTTGCATGTTTTCGAACTGCTAAGTTGGCAGAAGCTGGGCCTAACAGCGGGAGCTCATCCTACTACCTGGATTTGATGCACCAACCTTTTGGTCAGCAAGTTCAGCAGCTCAGCGGTTTAACCCACTGCACCACCAGGAATTACATAGATTTCTTAAATTATTACCACTTAATTTGTCAAATCTGTTGTGGGTATAATGGCAAAAGATCCACGATCTTGACAGCATTGATTCTGGTGAAGTTACTTTTAAGGGTTTAAGTTTTTAATAGATTTTAATTTTTTTGATATTGTATTATATATTTGAATTTTTAATTGTATTGTATATTAAATTTTTTAGCTATGTTTATTTTAACTGTTGTAAGCTGCCTTAAATCCTGAACTGGAATAGACTGTGATGGCGATGACAATGACATAATGAACATAAGTTGTGTTTTTGGAGAAAATTCAGTAAATAAAATATTTAAATATACGGTGTCTTTATATGGAAACAATTCTGACTGATAAAAGTTCTCCCCCCGCCCCCTTGCCGTGGTGGTGCAACGTGTTAAATAGTTGTGTCGCTGAACTTGCTAACCGGAAGGTTGGCAGTATGAATCTGTGCGGCGAGGTGAACTCCTACTGTTAGCCCCAGCTCTTGCCAGCCTAGCAGTTTGAAAACATGTAAATGTGAATAGATCAATAGGTACCGCCTCGGCGGGAAGGTAAACAGTGCTCCATGCAGCCATGCCAGTCACATGACCTCGAAGGTGTCTATGGACAACGCAGGCTCTTTGGAGCCGGAGATTAATGGGAAGCTTTTAGCTTTATTTATTTACAGCTTTTACATTCTGCCCTTCTCACCCCGCAGGGGACTCAGGGCGGATTACAGTGTACACATATATGGCAAACATTCAATGCCAATTTTTGACATACAAACATATACAGACATACACAGAGGCTATTTAACTTTTTCTGGCCGCCAGGGGAGCTGCCGCTTTCATCGTCCATCTGCGACACTGATGAAGCACTTCCGCATTCCCCGCATGCTTCCCTGCTGGAATGCTTTGCTGGAGTCTTCTTTATGGCCTCATAAATCAGTTAATTTAGCCTCCCCACACTTTAAGGTGGTACCTAATTTTCCTACTTGACAGATGCAACTGTCTTTCGGGTTGCAAAGGTCGACAACAGGCTACACACAATTGGTTGGAAACCCACTCTAACCCGGGCTGGCTTCGAACTCATGACCTTTTTGGTCAGAGTGATCTTAATGCAGCTGACACTCAGCCAGCTGCGCCTTTATCTGTGTGTCATTGTTTTGAGGCACTGAATATTTGCCTGTATGGTGAAATCCACCCTGAGATTTCACAGATAGGGCAGAATACAAATAAAGTGTTTATAATTATAATAATTATTATTCCCCTCATCTGTCATAAATTTAATGAATGGCCCTCAAGATATTATGAAATTGAATGGTCTTTAGGTTTCCCTGGGAGTGGAAAGGTTAAAGATGTCCGTCTTTGCAGATTGTTTTATTTGCATCTTACGAAATGCAGTAAGATGAGAGAGGAAAAAGGACAGAATTAAAATAGGAGCCTCCTTCTGCTTATGCGGACTCTCTTTGAAGAAACAAATTGCTCGCATTTTGGCAATAACTAAGATTACTTCTCCTTCCCTGCTGACTCCCCTCTTTTTGTAATTTAACTGTTGCTGGAGTGTGTGAGTCATTTAAATACTAAATGCTGCATTTGGGAGTCCCACTGCATTCTCCATAGCAGGAGGCCTGGCTCAGACTGCTTTTATTAATTTCACCCTTTCCTTTCAGTTCTCCTTTCTCAAATCTCTTCCTACTGGGATTAAATTACTTAGACCTTCCCCGGAGTGCACTGTAATTTTCCCACTCCCTATTATGCTACTTTCTGAACTGCAGTCAGTGCTCTCTTATGTTCAGCCAGCAAATTTTGCTCTTTTCATCAAGGCTGACCACATGAGAATACAATGAAAAAAATGAGTTCTGTGTCTCAGGCTCCATCTACACTGCCATTTAATGCAGATTGAACTGCACTATATAGTCAGTGTGGACTCATATCATGCCGATTGAACTGCACTGAACTAGATTATATGAATCTACACTTCCATATACTGTATATACTCGAGTATAAGCCCAGTTTTTCAGCCCCTTTTTAGGCTGAAAAAGCTGCCCTTGGCTTATACTCGAGTCAAAGTTATTTAGTATTTTACTCTGTTATTACTATTATGTTTATTACATTTATTATTTTCCTCTATTATTGGTATTATTACATTTGCATTATTTTACTCTAATATTATTTTATTACATTTATTTTACTCTTTATTTATTATTATTACATTTATTATTTTACTTTAGTATTATTGTTATTACATTTATTATTTTACTCTATTACTGGCATTATTACATTTGCATTATTTTACTCTATTATTTTATTATATTTATTTTACTCTATTATTACTATTACATTTATTATTTTACTTTCTTATTATTGGAAGGCTACGTAAGCACATTGACACTGAAAAAGGTTAGAATAATGGTTTAATCAAAGTTGGTCAGTCTTATTTTAAATTACAGTTTTATATAAACATTGAAAAACATTTAACCTACTGTTTCCTCAATTAATGTAATTTTATTGGTATCTATATTTATTTTGTATTACCAGTAGCTGCTGCATTTCCCACCCTCGACTTATATTCGAGTCAATAAGTTTTCCCATTTTTTGGTGATAAAATTAGGTGCCTCGGTTTATATTCGAGTCGGCTTATACTCGAGTATATACGGTAACCTAGTTCAATTTGCATTATAATGGCAGTGTATATGGGGCCTTAAGAGTAGTTTAACTTGCTTTGTATGTTGCAATCTTAAGGGGACCTGATCACTGTACATTTTTATTTGAAACATAGAATACTCAATATACTCAGTAAAACACAAGGTCTCCCTGGTTGCACAGCGGATTAAACCTCTGAGCTTCTGAACTTGCTGACTGAAAGGTCAGTGGTTCGAATCCAGGGAGCAGGGTGAGTCCACGCTGGTAACCCCAGCTTCTGCCAACCTAGCAGTTCAAAACCATGCAAATGTGTATAGATCAATAAGAGACAAATGGAGCACCCGGTGGCACAGCAGGTTAAACTGCTGAGCTGCTGAACTTGCTGAGCAAAAGGTTAGTGATTCAAATCTGGGGAGTGGAGTGAGCTCCCGCTGTTAGCCCCAGCTTCTGCCACCCAAGCAGTTCGAAAACATTCAAATGTGAGTAGATCAATAGATACCGCTTCTGTAGGAAGGTAACGGCGCTCCATGCAGTCATGTTGGCCACATGACCTTGGAGGTGTCTATGGACAATGCTGGCTCTTCAGCTTAGAAATGGAGATGAGCACCACCCCGCAGAGTTGGACACAACTAGACATAATGTCAAGGGGGAACCTCTACCAAATCTAATTCTGTTCTAGTTTTGTGCCAACAAGAGTAAGTAAATATAACAAAAATGGTCATAACTTAAGTCTTAATGCACAGATTACACAAGCCAACAAGTATTTTTCATCAGATATAATTTTAGATTATTCTTACAGAGTTTTTGTGCTGTATTCAGATCTGTGTTTATTTTTTCTCTATCATGTGTAGCTTTTGCAATGAGGCTAATCGAATAATGCATTTACGCATTGATATCAATTGAATCTAATTCATATCAGTGCGTAAAATTATTAATTATTTGATTAGCCTCTGATGAGAAATACTTACTGGTTTGTGTTACATGAATATGGTATGAAATGTGCAGGCTTTACAGTAGTCCACTGTAATATACCATTCATCATATTTTAAAAAGTTGATATGATGGAAAAAAAATAAAGACATACTTAAAATCAGTATAAAAATTGATTTAAACTGTTTGCCTCTCATTTCTGGTTAGAAAAAGTTTGATTTTGTTGGCTTGTATATTTGTTATTAATTTTTGGCCATTCTAGAACTTATTTCTTTGTATCGAGATTGATTTTTTGAAAGTCCATTTGGCTACGAAAAGGTTGATTTTCTCCTCCATTTCTAACATTTATGATGCAGTCCTGGGCCATGCTCACTGGATTTAGTCTTACGAAGGTTTGCAACCACCTCACGCTGCTCAGAACTATTTTAAAGGATTTGATGAACCTCAATCAGTACTTGGTTGTTGGAGAAAATATAAGCGAAACATACAAATCCAAGCCCTTAATTGTGAAGACTGATGATGGCAAAGAAAAGGTTTCCAAAATGAATTGCATCTGTTTGAAGGGATAACTTGAAAACCAAGCGTGATAGATAGGTGGCACTGTGGAATCACCATCTTCTTATATATACCTGTTCAATGATTTAATATTGTTGTTCTCTCTATGACAGTTGGTATATCTTATTCAAAAACTTCTCCCACCGCTGGCCCTTCTTTGCCGTGGTATCTCACCAATACTAGGCAAGGAAACTAAGAAATCCTTTCCAGCACAGTCAAAATCTCCGCAGTATATAGACGACATGGTATGAATGCCGAAATGAGGATATGGTGGTAGCATAAAAGGAAATAAGAATTGGATGAAGTCATTATTGCATTGTTATGCAACTATGTTGGAGTACTATGGATAAGTCAATCTGACGCCTGGTAACCCAGAGCTTGAAGAAATTATTATTATTATTTGGATCCATAGTACTGAAATTTTGGATTGCTATGGGAGACAAATGGAGCACCCGGTGGCACAGCAGGTTAAAATGCTGAGCTGCTGAACTTGCTGTGCAACAGGTTGGTGATTCAAATCTGGGGAGTGGAGTGAGCTCCCTCTGTTAGCTCCAGCTTCTGCCACCCAAGCAGTTCGAAAACATTCAAATGTGAGTAGATCAATAGGTACCGCTACTGCGGGAAGGTAACAGCGCTCCATGCAGTCATGCTGGCCACATGACCTTGGAGGCATCTACAGACAACACTAGCTCTTCGGTTTAGAAATGGAGATGAGCACCACCCTCCAGAGTCTGACATGACTAGACTTAATGTGAAGGGGAAACCTTTGCCTTTACCTTTGGGAGAGGAGCCCCCGGTGGCGCAATGGGTTAAACCCCTGTGCCGGCAGGACTGAAGACTGACAGGTCGCAGGTTCGAATCCGGGGAGAGGCAGATGAGCTCCCTCTATCAGCTCCAGCTCCACATGTGGGGACATGAGAGAAGCCTCCCACAAGGATGATAAAAACATCAAATCATCCAGGCATCCCCTGGGCAACATCCTTGCAGACAGCCAATTCTCTCACACCAGGAGTCACTCATGACACGACAAACCCCCCCCCCCAAAAAAAACAAAAACAAAAAACCTTTGGGAAATGCTATTTTGACAATCTTCCATTTTGCCTGTCTCTCTTTATTTCAAAGATGACTGATGAACAAAAACCAAAATAAAATACTGGAATGTAAACAGTACATTTTTCCGTGCTGTATACAAGAAGATGAGCCATTGCCAGGGCTGTTTTGCCGTACAGCATAATTAATGAAAGTTGTATTCTGCCCCTTGTTAATTTCCTGAGATAATCTCCTGTTTTGTTAACATCAAGATTTGAATCCAGAACTCATCTAAGAATTGTACATCAAATGTAACCAGAAGCTTATGTACCAGTAACTTACTGAAACCACTACGCATTTGTACCAGAAGAAGTTTAAGCTTGTTAAATAAACATTTTATTATTGTTAACACTTTACAATCAGTGTGAACATCATTGTGATTTAAACCCTCTAAATAAAACAAACACTATTGTAACACAAAAGTGTGTTACTAAGTATACTCTTCACATTCAACTCAGCCTGAATACCAAACAAAAAGGTGGCAGCAAAAACAATTGAAGAAACAGTTTCAAGATCTCCCAGTTGCCTCTTTCCTGTTTTAAAAATCCCCCTGCACCTATATATAATTTGGTTGGCAGCTTGTGGGATTCACTATTTTAAAATCCCCTGTCCCTTTCCCTGCTAAGTTCCTTATAATTAACGGCAATCGGCTGATATAGTTTCCCAGGTTCCTTATAATTGGTGGTACAGTGGTGCGATATCCTTATAGCATACATAGATTTCCTCAATTGGGCTTGTATCCCAAAGCAATAGAAACGATCTTTTCTTTGCCCTGTAGAATGTGGTTCTTGCAGGAGGCTCCACGATGTTCAGGGATTTTGGACGGCGGCTGCAGAGAGACTTGAAAAGAGTAGTTGATGCCCGCTTGAGAATCAGCGAAGAGCTCAGTGGAGGCCGGATAAAGGTAAACAGGTTTTATTATCTATTAAATGCTTGAAGGAGCAAAACAAGCACTAGGCAGTTAATATCTAGGCCTGTAAATCAAATGTTTTTTTTTTAAAAAAAAAAACAAGTATGCTACAAGCATCTATTTAAGAAGACAGTGCAGTAAAGGTAGAATGATTTATATCTCCCTAACGTGACCATTGATCTGACGGCTTTTTGGATTTTCTCAATCCAATTGGATTCTAGCATTCAGAGCATTGTTGACGTTTTTGACACAACAGCACCTTCTGCCCCAAAGCCATGTTGCTTATTGACTGGATTGTCTCTCTTCAGCAGTTAGAGATACAGCTTAGAAAATGGAATCACTACTGCCAGTCTGTAAATGATATAAGCAAATATATTCCTCTTCTTCAGGGCTGTAGATGGCAATGCTGTGATTCTAACTGACGGAGCATGGAAAAGTTCCTTTTTCACTGCACGTTCCCAAATCCCTCTTGCAGAGTAGCTAGAGGGGGTTCTGTGACTGGTACTCCTACATAGTAATGCTTCCGAGTCTCCTTGAAACAGCAGATTTGGGGCAGTTCAGGATGTGTTTTAGATGCTTGAACCTGAAATGCGTAATTAAGCTCCTTTTTTGCTGCAGGGTGTGCAGGGGCTTGTAATACATTTGGGGACTCAAAAGGGAGCCCAGATTTTGGAGGCATGCCAAATCTGAATAAGAGATCTATACCATCATGATTATTTCTCCACAGTTAGATGCCCAGCACTGTATTTTCTAGCAATGGCACTGTAATTGGCTCTTTCTGACTAGCAAAATAGTCAAGGCTTGCACTGTGTTTTGATAATGTTTAAACCTGTTAGTTTTGTTTTGCTCCACAGCCTAAACCTGTTGAAGTTCAAGTGATCAGTCACCCCATGCAGCGCTATGCAGTCTGGTTTGGAGGCTCTATGCTCGCATCAACAGTATGTCTCTTTATAAATTCATTTTGCTATAGGATAGTTGTGATGGAAAATACATGGAGGTTACCTTCTAATCTGGGCCTGTGTCAAAGGAAAGGCTTTAGCTGGGTATTATTTCCATTGTATGTGTGTTTTTAATGATGCGTGAACAGATCAATGATAGCACAGGCTCCTACTGTATTTTGTTGGAAATACCAACCTACCAAGTCTTCAATATTTGTTTGTTAATGTATATTTTGCTAACGTGCATTGTATGTATATATTGATTTGCTGCTTTGACTCACCTCTTTGGTGTGGGAGGGGCTACAGACATGTAATTGTACTGAGCATGTTCAGACTCAGGACTCCATTTTGTTATCAGTATGCTTTTGGACTCCAATGTTAGCAGTTTGCTAGACTTTAGCGAAGGTGGATGTCTTTTGGACTTATGCAGGAACTGTTTACTATATGTTTGCTTTGAGAAGCAGTGAGTACAGTTATACAGTTTGGACTTGCATAAGATACGTACTAGAAGACTTTGGACTATGGACTATTGATTAAGAATTATACCCTGTGTTCTCAAACCAGAGAAACTACATCCTATCTGTAACTAAACTTCAATAAGAAATGTGCCTGTATGCTAAATTAATACAAGATGTTTGTGAGTAAACAAGATATGTTACTTTTTAAAGAAGACTTTGGTTTTTTTTGTCTCTGAGTGCATATTTTAAGAGGTTTCAAGGGCAACTGCAATTTCAATTCCTACTTCAAAGAAACATTTTAAAAACTCTGCTAGCTAAGTATATGTTTTTTGTGCAGTGGCATGTTTTTGTCCCTGGCAGTTCAAAGGCATGGTTTATCAGTTTAACAGCTGAGTTACCTGTGTGCCATTACATGAATGCTTGTGAACGTCACTTTTTCAGGGGGTTGACTTCTAACAAGGCCATGCCTTTTCTTGACTAGTGGTTTTCAAAAGATGGTCTCCAGATGTTCATGGAGATTCACATTTGCCAAAAGGATACTACATCATTTTTATTTTCAAAAAAGGTCATGAATGCAATGTTCCCAAAATATTTTGTTTTCAAAATCTGTCTGTTACTTTCGAACTAGCCTTAGAAGAAATTGGTGAAGTACTTCCATGTTAGGGCCATTTCAGACCACACAGTTATGGCACTTTGATTCTGCTTTTACTCCCATATTTAATGCACTATTAGATCGCCAATGAAAAACCGTGACATTTGACCATATAGTGGGTACAATATGGATATTACTGCTAAAGTTTCCAAAAGGAAATTGATGTAGAAATACGATAAATACCGAGTTTATCTTGCTGCTGCTAGTGCATGTTGATTTCCACTTCCTTTTCAGTGTGTGCTGTAAAGGTGATTGCATTATCTGAACTCTAACTCTAAGCTTTGCCTTTATCTTGGCTTGTATACTTTTTCAGCTTGTTTTTCTTTTCTCTTTTTCTACTCAGCCAGAATTCTTTGACGTATGCCACACCAAGAAAGATTATGAGGAATACGGCCCTAGTATTTGCCGTCATAATCCTGTTTTTGGAATTATGACTTAATTCTCACTCTGTGGTGAAATCTGTTGCTGTGTCCAATGGAGATCCTTTTGCTTATGAAGAGTTGAAACTATTGAAACATGGAGTGCTGTGGAGACCAAGTGGCCTTGAAGAAGAATACCTCAATCCTACAGAATGTGCTGAAATCAGGCACAGCAATACTAAGTTTCATAACTAAGTGCCTTCCTTTCTCCAATTGTCAGCAGACGTCATGATTTAGAAAGATTTAACAGGAATTACAGGTCTAAACAGAGGGCAACAAAACCCAAACCAAAATATTATCACTTTCAAAGCTTTTCTGGAACAGAGAAGAACCTATATTGTGCTCAGTCTTGTTATCCAATCTGCAAGGATGGAACTTATTTTGCAAATCATTGCATTAGTCTCAATGGGTTTATTAATTATTATTTTTTTGGTCTTCCTTGAACAGATATTTCAGAAATGGTGCCTTAGTTTTGTGAAAAATTGAACAACTATTCTATGCTGAGTACTTTGTACTTGATGATAATTGTTGAAGCAGATGGCCTGAGTTGATCACCAACTGCTAGCGATGTCATGGAGAGTGGTGCCACCTGAGGCAAAGTTTGTTTGAATTTCAGACTGTTGAAGGGCTTTCTTTGATTACATGTGTGGTTTAAAAATGTATATTTACTGGTTTTATCTTAGTGATGTTTGAAAAATAGTACATGAAATGTATTACTGCTTATTTATTTATTTATTTATTTAAAAACTGGGAAAAGGAAAAGCTGTTGGTTACATACTGGTGAATAAAACTTTGTTGACATGCTCATACAGATTAATCAGCAGCAGTGCAGTCTTCTTTATGTGGTGGAAGAAAGCATTCTTTTCTTGAAAACTCCATATTTGCTTCTCTGTATTTGTTTTGAAGGCCCCCTTGGTGGCGCAGCGGGTTAAACCGCTGAGCTGCTGAACTTGCTGACTGAAAGGTTGGCGGTTTGAATCTGGAGAGTGTTGTTAGCCCCAGCTTCTGCCAACCTAGCAGTTTGAAACATGCAAATGTGAGTAGATCAAAAGGAAGATAATGGCACTTCATGCAGTCATGGAGATGCTCTCCCAGCAGTTACATGGAGGAAGCAGGAAAATTAACATTTACATAGTTTCTTCACCAGATGTTTAGATAAACTACGTAACAATATTTGAAAGAAATTATGTTCCTGGTTTTAAAGTGTTGTTTCCTGTTTAATTGTGCAGTACTTACTCTGAAAGTGGTTGCTATGCTCCAGAAACTTTGTTTTTGTGGCTGAGGGGTAATACTACTATTTCTTTCAGTTTAGGCACTTTGTAATTTTCCTTAATGAAAATGTGCCATTTTAAACCTTTCAGTGTGCAAAGAAAAACAAAGTTTTTGCAGTTTAATAAACATTGTCCATATTTTTATGATAAAATCAATTAGAAAATGACATATATAGCCTAGGAACAAAAATCGTGTCACATAGTGTTATTAGACATGATTAGAGCACACTGATTTCAGGAAAAATCTATGACTAAAAATAATATTTTCTTTTGAATCTTCATAGCTTTGTTCGTTTCACCACTGACAACTCTTGGAAAAGTGAGTCACAGCAAATCATTACAGACATTTAATATTTGACCCTAAACCTGACCATCTGTTCACTTCTTGTCAGTCCAGTGAAATTTTTGAATGCACATTCGAAGTCTAGACACTGCTGTTACCCATTGTGAGACTTTGACATATAAATCCATATTTAATGTGCTCAGATCTTTTTTTTTTCACTCAGTGGTAGAGGTTTCCTGAACAGCTTGATAGATACAGACTACGTTGGCCCATGACCTTGGAACACATTGAATAAGAAGGAAGTCAACTGAAGGAAGCTTTTATCTGAAATTTGTGCAGTAATTCTAAGAGGAAATGAACAGTTCAGCCAACAATGTATGGAGTCACTTGCGCCAATTATTTTGAGTTATTTTGGAAATTTGAATCTCTAGTTTTCTGTCTCATACGCATATCCATTGCAATGTCTCGCTGGTAAAAGTTTTAATAACATTTTGGTTTCCATATTATAAATCCGAAGAGCGCTGTGTATACGTCTCGCTGTGGAACGTTCAATTAAGTGCAATTAGCAAAGCCTCGACGTGACTTGAAGTGCTGATCTTCGTGTAAATAATTCATTCTTTATGATCATGCTGTTTTCTCTCATCTGGAAAAATAACACCGTTGTGCCAAATGAGTTGTCTGAAGATGCCAGAGTGAAAAGCTTGCTCAAAATCACCAGGGACAGAATGAAACAGGAATATATTATCTCCTGCTTAATTCAGAAGTATTACATAATGTCGGAGTGAAATTATAATAACCTGAAAGAATATCAGCTCAGAACCATCAAGATGTCTTGTGAATTAACACTTACTAGTGGTGTTTCTCTAGCTGCATTCTGTGAAACCGTTGTGGACATTTGTGGTTTCTCTCTTGAACAGAATTTGTTGAAATGATTTTTCCATTACGAATGTGTGAAAGGACGAGAAAAGACAAGAGGATGATTTGTAGGTGCCAGATATAGAGAGCAGTTGATGCAAATTTGGAATTTGATATCCTCATTACAGACTTGGAGAAAGTAAAATGATAGAAAATAAACTTTATTATGGCTTTATCTGTGATTGCAATAATAATTTGTCTTCAGTCTGGAAAGAAGATCTACAGCTGAGCTCTTGCAAGACTTGAATTCCTAATTAAGACCATTAATAATCTGGATGAGATTATGGAGATTTGACTATACATTGAGTGAATATTACTGCAAAATTGTGGATGATATACTTTTGATAAGAATTGCAAACTTTCCAGAAGACAGGCTCAAATTAAAAATGTCCTTCAAGAGAACAGCTAAGAACAGAAAGATAGAAAGAACCCATTGAAAAGTGTTTTTTGCAGTAAAGAAGAACCAAATGGGCAAAAAGGAGGTGCAAGCTTCTACTCTCAATACCTGTAGGGATGCAGCTTCCTATCCTAAACACCTGTAGTGATCTTTTAATTGTATGATGCTCGTTTCCATGGTTGAACAGGGCTAAGAACCCGGGTTGGGAAAGAGGCCGACTCTATAGACCAGGTATGGGCAAACTTCGGCCCTCTGTGTGTTTTGGACGTCCACTCTCACAATTCCTAATAACCTATGGGCTGTTGGGAATTGTGGGAGTTGAAATCCAAAATATCCAGAGGGCTGGAGTTTGCTCATGATTGTTATAATCAGAGATGCACACACACACACAGAGAACTGATGTGAATTGGAAGAAGGCACACTAGTCTCCAAATATCTACTGGACATTGTAACCTCTGGAGGAAATGTAAGTAAGGAAAAAGATAAAGGCTGGCTCGTATATCATTTCAATCCTGTTGTTCATTCGTTCAGTCATTTCTAACTCTTCGTGATCTCATGGACCAGCCCACGCCAGAGCTCCCTGTTGGCCGTCACCTCCCCCAGCTCCTTCTGAGTCAAGCCAGTCACTTCAAGGATGCCATCCATCCATCTTGTCCTTGGTTGGCCCCTCTTCCTTTTTCCTTCCATTTTCCCCAGCATCATTGTCTTCTCCAATCTTTCCTGTCTTCTCATGATGTGGCCAAAGTACTTCAACTTTGCTTCTAATATCCTTCCCTCCAATGAGCAGTCGGGCTTTATTTCCTGAAGTATGGACTTGTTGGATCTTCTGGCATTAGCCATTTCAATCCTAGTCATCACTTGTCAGTTCCTGCAGAGAACAGAAAAGAGCAGACCTGCTAGATGAAGGGCTCTGTCTAGTTCAACATCTTGTTTCCAGCTGTGAGGACCACAGAGCCTACAAGGAGCATAAGAAATCAATAGTGTCCCTTATATGATCTTAAGATCTAGCATTCAGTCAGCCTAACTACCTAGAGTGCAAATTATATAGGCCTCTGATGTTGAATCCAGAGGGCTACATAATTCACACTTTGGGTATTTATTTACAGCATTTATATTCTACCCTTCTCAGGACTCAGGCTGGATCACAGAACATATACACAGCAACCATTCAATGCCATTAAACAGACAGGACAGAAAACAGATAGAGGTATATGTTGGCATTTCTCCTAACTTTGGTGTTCTGAAGGTTGTGCTTGATTCCCACCAAGGGAGATGCTGTCACTCCATCCTGTATGAAGAAGAGCCCTTGATCACAGACTTCCTTCTTTTTTGATCACTGGCATTTTCTGGTATTTCCTTTTAATGGTGGCGTAAAATACTTCCCCACTTAAGCGGTGCTTAATTTCTCTACTCGCACCTCACAGCTGTTTTCGAACTGCATAGGTTGACAGTGAGCTGGGCTGACGATTGGGTTCTCATCCCGATCCGGGCTTCGACTTGTCAACCTTTTGATTGATGTGATCTATTACACAGATTAACCAGCTGTTCTAAAGCCCAGTAGATTGCATCAAATCTTTTAATCGATAGATCAATCAAATTGATTGTCTCTTGGCATTTTACACAGAATTTGCAAGCTTGGTAGTTGATTAAATGTCCTTTGACCAGTATCTGGCCACTTGGAGTGCCTCTGGTGTTGCCTCAAGGAGGTCCTGCATTGTGCATGTAGCAGGGCTCAGGTTGCATTGCAGCAGGTGGTCAGTAGTTTGCTCTTCTCCACACTTGCATGTTGTGGATTCCACTTTGTAGCCCCATTTCTTAAGATTGGCTCTGCATCTCGTGGTGCCAGAGCGCAGTCTGTTCAGTGCCTTCCAAGTCACCCAGTCCTCTGTGTGCCCAGGGGGGAGTCTCTCATTTGGTATCAGCCACTGATTGAGGTTCTGGATTTGAGCCTGCCACTTTTGGACTCTCGCTTGCTGGGGTGTTCCACCTAGATATTTCTGTAGATCTTAGAAAACTATTTCTTGATTTAAGTCGTTGACGTGCTGGCTGATACCCAAACAAGGGATGGGCTGGAGATGTCACTTCCTTGGTCCTTTCACTATTGGCTGCTACTTCCCGGCGGATGTCAAGTGGTGCGATACCGGCTAGACAGTGTAATTTCTCCAGTGGTGTAGGGCGCAGACACCCCATGATAATGCGGCATGTCTCATTAAGAGCCACATCCACTGTTTTAGCGTGGTGAGATGTGTTCCACACTGGGCATGCATACTCAGCAGCAGAGTAGCATAGCGCAAGGGCAGATGTCTTCATTGTGTCTGGTTGTGATCCCCAGGTTGTGCCAGTCAGCTTTCGTATGATATTGTCTCTTGGCATGATTGCATCTAATGGTGTGCATGTAATTGTGGAAAGTGTGGTGGCATGCTCAAGGCAAGAGTGTTTGATTTTCACCAGTGTCTCCTGTTGAGCCCTCTCAGATGCTCTTGACGGTGAAGAAAACCTTCTGGAACCATATGAAAGTGATTAACATTTTGTACCTTGCTTCACAATCCTCTCACTAGTTCCAATGAATGGCTTCCTTCCAATACAAATAGCAACTGCAGAGGTAGCAGCAGGGAGGGAAGGGTTAATTCCACATCCCAATCTACTGTGATACTAATTGTCACCATCATCACCCCCTGCAGCTGCTGTTGACTTTTAAAAAAATGAAATACGCAT